TGTTGTCAAAAAATTCAGTTTTGGTCTTATCACCAAATGTTTTCCAAATGTTTGCTATGTCTCCTGCATCCTTTCCCCCCTGTTTTGTCTTAACAGTGCTCCAGCCAATGTTTATAGCATGGGATATTTTTTAATAACCCAGCCTGTCACCTGCTCTTGTTTTGATAGCTCCTTGGTCTTCATGATGTTTTTTGCATAAGTATGCTGTCCAACAAAATCTGAGGCCTTACAAAAATCATGTGGTGTGGAATTATACCCAAGTGAACACGTGACTTCTGGAAGCAGAAGGTTGTAGTAGAACTTCTTTAGATGTGTCATGGTAAAGGAATGAATACTTGCAACCAAGAAGTGCCAGGGTTTCTTTGTTTACTTCACTTTTGTGCCACAATAAAAATATTTTGCACCTTCACAATGTTGAGTATCTGGTAGAAATAAAGAGGGAACAATGGCAATTAAATCAGTAACAATTCCAGTGTGTAACCAAAAAATATATGGAAAAGTCAAAAAGATGAATACATCTGCAAGGCAGTGTAACTTACCAATGCCCTGATAATATCTTGGCTGGGGAACAAAATGTTTGTGAAATTTACATGCCAGTTAGCTAAGGACAGCGGGAGAGGTGTTTTTTATTTATTGAGTTAGAACAGTAACGCAGAAATTCAGACTAGGAAAAGACAACCCAATTATAAATGTAATTGCCAGAGGCCACTGCCCTTACTTTAGCCAGGTTGACCTGCAAAAATGTCCCTTTGCCTTCTCCAGAATATTGTTGCAGGGAATGTAAACAAGGATGAAAGTGAAAGACAAAGTGACTGTCTCTCCTGGGTATGCCAGAGGACAAGGGGTAAAGGAAGAGGCTCTGAAAATAAATGCAATAGGTGGATTATAATGAAGACAATATTTGTGGTCTTCTGTTTGGGGCACTTTTTCTATATGGTGCATATCTGTGCCATCAGAGTTTTCACAATTGTTTTTTTACAGAGGGAACCAAGATCTTGACTTATTCTGAGTTAGGAGAGCTTGACTATTCTGTAAAAAAATGGTAGTAGAGGGAGGTAAACTAAAAGAACTGGACACGTTTGGTTATATACTGGAATTGTGATGAGAGCGGCTGTATTCCTTAGTGGTTGTGGTAAGATTTTAGCTCTTTGTTCATGGTATGTTTTTTCCTAATGTACCTATTATCTATTTGATTGGCTGTGAGTTATTTGAGATTGTGCTAAATTTTCTTTTCTTTAACTAAAAGAATACTAGATTGAGAGCTATGATCCTAACTGTATACCCACAGATATAATAGCCTGGGGGAACTGGAATATCTCCCTTCTCTTATCTATTCTGTGAGGAACGTGGAGTAAGAATTCTAGTTGTCTAAAGCAGCGGTTCTCACACTTTGCTATTCCAGATGTTTGAAACTCCAGCTCCCAGAATTCCTGATCATTGGCCATGCTAGCTGGGGCTTCTTGGAGTTGAAGTCCAAAACGTTTCTAAAGAGCAAGGAGTACTGCACTAAATTTTGTTACATGTTTTAAGGGGTAAGAGGCAGTCCTCCACTCAGCCAATTCTGGTAAATTGTACCACATTGGGGTGATTATTTGAGAAGCATTAAAATATTTTTGAAAGCTTTATTGAGGCCTACTGCTTGTCCCACCAGTGAGAGTAATACACGTCTGAGCATGCAGGAGAGAGCTTTCTCTGCTGTGGTGCTCCAGTTGTGGAATGCCTTCCCCTTGGAAGCCCAATGCTGGCTGCATACTGGCCCCATTTAGCACGATTTCTTATGAAAGCCTTTGGGGCTTTGTTGATTTTATCACAACCTCTACATGTTTTAAAATGTTCTTAACTTGTTTATTGTTCAGTACGTTTTTAGTCTGTTTAAATTATCTTTCACTGTTTCAGATTTTCTTTCTCTTGGTCTTATGCTGCCCTGAGATCTTATATAATAGTGTGGGATATAAATTTGTTAATGAATAAATAAAGTGTTTACAATATATTTATCTCACATTGCAAAATAAAATTTCCAAGATGAGATACACCAAAAATTTAAACCCTTATAAGTTTAGGACAGATTATCCACCCTTTAAAAATTTAGGCACCATAAAATGTGGCTAATCAGTCTTTTAAGTGAGTTGATTGTGTGTCTTCACTGTGTCTGTGTTTTAAACACATGGCATGTGCTGTAAAGAGCTGCACAGTATCCAGAGTAGAAAGGACACAGAAATGGAGAGGGTGAGCAGAAGAAAGCAAAAAGGGTACAGAGAATATTGAAGGTGTAGAAGTAGTAAAGGAGTGAGCGTAGTGGCAAAGAGGGAAATTCAGTCTCAAAATGCAAGATAAGGAGGTCATGTGGAAAGTTTGAGAGAGAGAAAAGCAAGGAAGTGTGCCAGTTGGCATTCTGTGACTGTGTATTAAATATCTGAACTGGAGGAGCATAATAGATGAATGTGACAGCACTTTTCAAGTAATGTCATCTTAGGCTTTCTGATTTTATTTTATTTTTACTTTGAATTGTGTTATTCTGCCATGTGGGTTTTTCACTCTTCAAAATTAGAGGTTTGTAATCCTTAAATAAAACAAAATTAATGCTTAAAGCAAACAATAAAACTAAGAAGGTCAGAAAAACATATTATTACTAAGCTGTCAAGGGCTACTCCTTGCCTCCTACTTCTTACTTTCACATAGTCTGCAAATTCTCTCCATTCCTTACTAGGGATAAAAAGGAAGAATAATAATTTCCTTATATTAAGGATGGCAGCTTCTTTAGCCTGCAAAGTATGCTGGAAATATTACCTCAAGTGTTATGGGAAGAGGAGGTGCATACAGGCATTGTGTTGGCTTGTCTCAGTTTCTATCCTAGTCCTTCCAGAGAACTTAAGAAATTGTCAAGAACTTGTGTGTATTTATACAGAAATGAAAATTAATCTATTCCAGCTTGGCCCTATCATTCAAATATAATACAAACACAAAAGTCTTGCCATCCTTCTGTAAGATGGTTTGGTTTAAATTTGACAGTCTTCTGGGATAAAAGAGCTCCACAAGTGTGAGGCAGTTTATAAGATCTCTGGGGGTGCATTTGAATATGGTGCTGTCAAGAGGTTGCGGCTGTTTGATCTTAAAAAGTCATCAGAGAACAAAGCACAATAAATTTTGGATGTGTTGTCTGACATATTTAGTACCCAAGCTGGTGGTGCCTTTATAAGTCAAATTCAAACCTTTAAATTATGATCAGAAAGTATTGGGAATAAGGTTGCCAGAATGAAAACTCGAGATGGCTCCTGTACCATTCATGGCTGTATAAAAGAGCGAAAGAGGGAAATTAAGCAGATGTTGCTTGTTCTCTGGTTGTATGACATCTGCTAAAAATTTCCTTTTCTACACAACCATTAAAAGTACAGGAGCCATCTGACACTCCTGATTAAAGGACTATTGAAAGCTGTTGAAGAACTTGTATTAAATGTTTCTGGTAATCTACCAAAGCAGCTGTCCTTAAAATTCTTAGTTTGTAGGCAGAGATAACCTATTATCCACAGGTTGTTCACTACCTAGAATAGCTTTGCTGGATGTCATTTTGCAGAAAGAAAAAAGAAAGG